ACTTTGGTCGGTCTTATTATTAATATTGTAGATCGAATGATATACAATGAGGCAGATGAAAACGGTAGCTTGAAAAGAATTTTAAAATATGTCATGAATTTTAAACCGGCAGAGTTTTCGTTGCAGTTAACGATGACTATTGAAAACGGAAGGTGACTCTTGTTACGCAGAATGAATTTTGATTGCTCAATTACCAGCGTCCTTCTGGAAAGAAAACTTGACGTGAGTTTCTATTTTCTGGTCAATGTATTCTAAATGAGAGGTTGTGTACGATTTATTTTTATCTCATCTTGGATGGGAATACTTTTCTCGTCAGGTCGGGTCTTGAATAATGTATGAGACGTTATTAAATTTGATAAAATTTAAGTCGATGTACAAGGGGTTGTATCCCGAGTTCTGCACATTACTCGACACCGAATATTGTGGCCAATGTTAAAGTTTCGCTTTTACGATGTATCCTATAATGACTACTTTTAAAAATTATGTTTGTATCATACATCTTATCCGAAAAGAGCAACCAGTATCAATATTAGGAACTTTAAACGCTTTTTAAAAAAAATATTTTAATTGCTATTATTATTACTATCACGTTGAAGAAAAAAAAAGGAAGTAGCTAAGAATTATCCAATTAAATAGGCTATTCAAATAATTCAAGCTTGATTTAAAACCTTTAAAGCTTATATTTCGCTGACCAATTCTAATAAACCCTAAATAGCTTTACTAATTCGTTATTTCAGCCACAAATTCTAAAAATCGTTCTATAAGTCTACAGACCTTAGTGTATTTGAAAATTTTTCATTTCGAGCCATGTAAGTTTTTGTATTAAATATAAGCTTTGTAGTCGTTGCCCTCACATTTTGGTAAAGTTTTTACTCCGAAGCCCGAGAAGAATTTAAAGTGAGTACCTGAAACTTCGAAACTTTTCGGGGTTTTTGTCACTTAGTGAAATACATCTGGCGAGATCGCGGAAAATTTTAGTAAGTAGCGCTTATTGCGTTACACGACTCGATCTCTGTTAAGTGGAAAGAAAACAACTACGTGGTATAAGTGTATCTATATTTAATGGAATCTCGAGTTATTGCGGGACCATCTATCTTTTAAAACTCAGTTTCACTGTGGCAAGATGTTCACAAGAAGAAATTGAACCGTTTTAAAGTAATTTAAACTTTTAAACGTAGCTCATTAAGGTGTCTCTTCTTAAACTAAAATTTTAAATTCCATCAGGGATTAAAACGTAATTTAATTTGGAATATTACGGGGGATATGACTTTTGTTTTGTTGGTAAAAAAATGAGCATCATGCTAATTCAAATTGAAACCAGCGAGACTTTGCACCCAATAGAAAAAATAGCGCTTAACAAAAAAAAAAATCAAATATCATTTAAATGTTAAACGTTAAAAAAATCACAATTAAAAATAATAATAGATAATCGGATTACTAAATTTCGTATCATTTAAACGAAATCGGTTCTCGCATTGTTGTCTCTTTTTAACTGTGTACGTTAGGAAGAGAGAAAGATGTGTTATTGGATATGTCATATAAACAACGGATTAAACACAACTTTAAAACGTAATGTTGTTTATTTAACTTTTACAATTGACCATTAAGTAGTTTATTAATTATTAAGAAAAATACTGTAATTGGAAGAAAAATCATTCAAGGATAGGGCTTTTAAGAGGATTAAATTTTTAAGATCGTAGAAGCAAGAAAAAGCAGATCCTAATCCTTAATTTTGTTTTGTTTCTACTGATGAGACATCGATATTTGAAAGTCGTACAGTTGGTGTTGGCAAGATATTAATATAAAAACTGTAAAAAACCACCAAAGTTCATGTGAACGGTAAGTAAAATTTCTGTGGAAAACTTAAATTATAAATGTCACTTTACTTACTGACCAGTCCACTAGATTTTAATGGTAGCTTATAGCACGTAGTATTTAAATTGTGTGATATATTGCATAACATAGCCAAATCCGAAGATACAGTAACATTTTGGAGAGAATTTATAATTCACAAAAAAACACTGTACAAAGGATCTTCCTCGAAACCTCGTGTTTTTACATAAAGTAAAGCTTACTTTGTGAATAATGTGTTGCCAATCTTGACTTTGGTGTGATAAGTTTTGTCTTGTCTGTCATAACTTTAAATCTAACGTATCCACAATGTGCCGTGTATTTGAAGTATGGGCTTCATCCTGGAATATCCTAGCTAAAAATTTAGCAATTGAATATAATTAAACAAGCCATAATTTATAGGCTGTTTAATGGATCAAAATGAGAGTTTTTGTGTATATTTTAACTTTCAGTAACTTCTAATAATATATTAATATCATTAAAATTCATCAAAAAACTCACATTCCAATTAAAAAAAATTGAACAAAATGTAATTAGAGAAGAATATGTGGTTTTACTAACTTTTCTTGTCTTTGTAATTTTTTTTCATAATTTGAGACTCTTAGACCATTGTACATTATTGCAAAATAACTGTGCAGAATAGCATTTCATTTACCAAGGTTCAAAATTATAGTGGCATATGGGTGAGTTATATATTTTGTAATTATTGAAGCTTTTCGCAGACGAAATTCACTATTTTGACGGCAGATAACGTAATTTCTGGGATGCAGTTTTATTTGTTTATCGAATTTCGAAAATACCCGCACAATGGGTCGTGAGACCGCATGAAGCCAACCAATGTTTCATCAACGGTCGGTAGAAATTGGTGTCGCTATTTGCCCGAGTTTATTGAGAAGGTTGATGGATTTGGCCATTGTCTAATGAACAGATACATCTGATTCGGTTTACTGCTTTATTCTAAACTGGCAAATCGGCGAAAGTTAACGTAGAGTCGTTAATCATCAAATACTAATTCGGCAACTTCAGCTGGAAGCAATTACCTAGATTACGTTTAGTAGTAGCGGTTAACAAGAAGAAATTATATGTGCTGGCGATATATTCGATTATTTGTCGGTTTCGGGACTTATTTCGTATTCTGGGTAGCTCACAGAGGATGATCGATTATTTAATAATATTTTTTTTAAATAATTTTCACCTCCTACCTTTTTAAAAATTTAAATTAATTTCAGTAATTTTAAATTAATTTGAACCCTCGAAGAAATGATATTTGTTTCGTACATACACACCCGTATATTTTTTATTTTCCAATTATATGTAAGAAATTAAATCAAGTTTCTTCCAGCTTCGCTATACTTATCTCTTTGAAATCAAACTTAATTTTGATTATTTTCCAGTAACATGAAAAATAAAAGAGAACTTAAGAACATTTCATTGTGCAATATACTTTTACAGGCGGTTCACGAAAGGGTTCAGATATTTCACCCTAGCAATACAATTTAGATGAAGGGTACGAGGTTTCTTAATGGTTAGTTTTAAATAAAAAATATGATATGTAGTTGATACTGATTAATGTTTTGGGTGGAATGAATAAATATTTTTGCAATAATGTGTTTATTACATTGATCCATATACCTACTGTATCAGTGTTCGACAAACAATATTAAACGGAATTTTCAATCAAATGCGGATTAACAATATTCAGTGAAAATAATTTAAACAGATCATTTTACCGTAGCTAATTAAGCTTTATATTTCCAAATTTTGAGCAAGAGTTTTTACACTATTGGACATATAATTGTTAAACTGACGTAATTTGATGGATAGGGTGCGGTAATGCCGATTCAATTTTCGTTTGGCATTAATGAGATTATTGAAGTGATATTAATTTTAACATTCTGTTCGATTAACCATTAATCAGCCTGTTTTGAATATTCATTAAAAGTTTCATCAAACGGAAATCTATGTTGAGATATTTTGTTGACATATTTCTGATATGTATGAATAAGTAAAAATAATGACCAAATTACTATGTCAATAAATCTCTTCACTTAGAGGTTTTATTTTCTAATAGATTTTCAAAGTGTTGTGTTGAATTATCCCAAAAACAGATTTGAAATGAAAAAAAATCTATTATCTTGTTCTTCTGAGTTTCCGGTAATAAGTGCTTGTAGCTTATGACGTACGTATAAATACAACACTTACGTTAGTTTTTGATTATATCAACATATTCTAAAAGCATATCAACCTTTTACTACAATAAAACACTTTCAACAAAAAATTCCAATCGTTGAATCTCAGAAGAAACTATCCATTGAATTTTATTTTTTTAAAATACTAATCTGTTTTTGTCGAGAGTTTCTTCTGCATTTTTAATCTTACCGACTTGACAATTAATATTGAATAGATCCAAAGCCACCAAAGTAATATTTTGTTTTAAGAAAAATGTATTTACTTCTCTGGTTTTTTCCTTCTTGTAAACTTATTTTTTAACGGATTTTGAAAATTTTGATGTCAAAATGTTGAAAGAGAGTACTGACTTTTAAAAGTTTCTGTTCTAACTAGGGTACTCTTTGGAAAACCTAGGTTATCCTTTAATTTAATAGTTCATTTCATTAAATGCTATTTGCCATTAGATCAGTAAAGAAAAGTTTCATTTATAATTTTTCCCATGGTTAGGTGACCCGGTAAATAGTATTTATGATGGTCACAGCCTCCTAGACACAATTTTCAAAAATTAAGTAAAAATTGAAAAAAAAAGGAGGAAAACCGTCCTGCAGAATGACCTCCTCTCCTTACTTCCGCTCAAACCGGAAGTAAATGAGAAAGTTCAAAACTAAGCTGCCTGCTTATTTTGTAGGAAAAAAACGCACTCACTCAGGTCGGCTTGGATGCGACAGTAGCCTTTTCTCTTGAGGATTTGTGACAAAGAATAAAAGTGACTACTATCGAATCAGAGAAACCACAACGTGTTGTTGTAATTAAAATATCCTCCTCTATCAACAACATAATTTTACTATTGACAAAAAATTTTAGAAAATTACTTCGAAAATATAACAAAAAAATTAATTACCAAAATCCAACAATGCGTGCGCTTAAAAATGTCAATGTCAAAATGTATGTTTTTAAATTTTGAAAAATGTATCCTCGGATAAGTTTATTAGAAAAGCTATGCGACTTACATATTCTCTACAAAGATTCGACTTTGACCATCAGAAATTTTGCATTAGAACAAATAGATTTAAAAAAATTGCATCTAAACGAAAATGAAATCCAGTGTTTCTTGGAAATGGCGAAGCATTCAACTCTGCTAGAGAATTTGGCCAGCGATTTCCTGAAGAAACGTCTATTGAATCGGGATCATTTGGATGTTCTCTTGGTGGCAATGTATGTGCTTTTATTTGTTTTGAATCGAAGCAATTACAAGCTTACTTTTCAAAGCCTTTTACGCGCGAGAATTCCATTTATGATCGATCTATTAGAAGAATTTTGTAGTACGGAATACCACTTTTTGATTTGTCAAACAGCCTGTAAGTGGTTTGAAGACGATTACGTTCTGGAGAAAATTCTGGCCCCTCTTATTGATAATAAAAACATCATTGATGCGTTTTTAAATAAATATAAGCGCGTTGCTGAAACAGTTCGGAAGAAACCACTGACTATACCGGACGAATTCGTAGGTTTAACAATGCACACTAGAAAGCCGCCTCCACCTCCATCCAACACACCCACATACCACGATAGATTTAAAGCCGCAAAACCTCCAAAATCAACGTGGATTAGAAACACTACGACAGAGACAAAAATTCAAAGATCTGCTGAAATTAACAAGTTTAGGGCTAATAGGTTGTTGAAAGAAGCTCAGAAAATGCCGCAGAGATTAATAAGGCCCCGTAGTTCGAAGCTGAAGAAACAGGAAATCATTTACTCAATACCTTTGAAGAGAAAACCCATTCTGATTCCTCAGGATGTAAAAGTTCCATACAATACAGCAGTGACTTTAAGGGAGGCTTCTAGATTATTAAAAGAAAAAGAACGAGAATTTAAAACTCTTGAAAACCTATTAAAAGGCGGATGTGACAATCAAATGTTGGAAAAAATCGATGAAGAATTTAGACAGGAGGAATATCAGCGAACCATCGATGCAATAGAACGGAATCATTTGAAAGGCCTCCTATCACACGAATCTGCGGTTTTGGCCAGGAAAAATTTTGTCTTGCGCAACAAAGAAAAATACAAGCTCTTCCAACAAGAAAAGGAGCAAAATATGGAGGCCTTAAACAAATGGAAGGAAGAGGAAAGAATCAAAATCGAAAAGCTCGTTCGAAAATCGCAACACATAAAAAATTGTGCCCGAGAGAGTGAGAAAAAGATATTAGAAAAGAAACAAATTCAGGTTAGGCTGCAGCAGTGCGAAACAAAAGTATTGCTCGATAAAGCCTATGCCGAAAAAATGAAAGAGCTTGAGAATAAAATGCAACTAATTCGAGAAATAAAGGCGTTGCAACAAGTTCGCCGGTGTATAAAACAATTTGACCCCACCGAGTGCGTGAGTTTAGGATTATTATGCGAAATGTCGATTGCCGAATTGCGAGAGAGGTTGGCAATAACAAGGTTGAACGTAAAACGCGAAGTCGAAGAGAAAAGGAAAGAAATTTTGCAAAGAAAAGAAGACAAACGCAGAAAACTGGAGGATATTGAAAATTTTATCCTTCGGTCTAAAGCCACGTCAAAAGCAACGCCTATTGCTAAAACCATTTTATCTTATAAACCCTCTTCCGAAATTGACAATCTGAAAAGAGAATTAGAAGAAAAGCGTAAATATCGGGAATATTTATTAGCCAAAGAATGACTGATACACATGATTGTTTATTTAGTCGTTAACTTATTAGTAATAATTTTCGCATTATATGCTTATATAACCGACGGGTGGAAGAGAATGTAAAATAAATGTCCAACACAGTTTCGTTTTCTCCGCTAGGTTCAGAGCAGTTTTACAATATAAATTTATTTATTCAGCATTAAAATTTAAATAAACATGTAAAACCCTTTCGAAATCTTGCGCTATAGCATTACCGATTAAAGCAGATTACTTTATTTATACAATAATTGCCAAGACGTTGGCTAATTTGCAGTTTGAATGGATCTTTCTTGATAATTGGTAATTTTACTTGTATTACCTAATTTTTATGTAAGTATAACTATGAGTTAATACCAAATTAATTATTCTGCTTATAATTGTTGTTAATGCAAATTGTTTTCGAGCAAAACACACAATCATAAAGTGTTTATAAATGCGATAGAAATAAAAAAAAAAACTTATTTAAAAAATAAATATATAAAACTGGCCACACAATCAGTGATAACAATGATCGATCAGGCGAAAAACCCCCACATGTTTAAAGTTAGTTATCTTTTCAGTTTTATTTCGAAATAATTTCTGTCTGCGATTTGAAATAATAACCAAGTTTTGTTTGTTCCTTTAGTTTTAGAGGTCGCTAAATTAAATCAGTGAAGTTATTGCTTTCCTTCCTTATACCCGCCGGGTTTGCGTAATTCGGGAAGTATTTGCAAAAATCATTATTGACGAAATTGTGAAACTTCCTTACCAAAACAAGCGTGACGTTATGCGTGATGATAGAACAGTACGTGATTCTTTCACACCTTTGTGGGCAACTTTCTAGTCCACATTGCGACAGTAATTCTATCGATTTTATTTGTGCATTGTAATTAATTTAAATAATTGTATTATTCTAAATTCACATCTCTCAATAATTATAAATATAAACTTTTAACATATGTATTATAAATTGTTTATACAGTGCAGATATTGTAATCCTTTCACTTCCTTATTATCCTACAGTGTTTGCATTGATAATGTCAAGCTTTTAGAAGACAGCATATATTCGAAGAATAAATTCCTCTATTGATTTACCCTGCCAAAGAAAATTTCTCGCTTTGTTCCACATTTACTGCTCAAGTACAACTTTTGTAAAATAACTAACTAGTTTTGATGGAGATATTAAACCAGGTATGTTACTAAAGCTTATGTTAACGATAACCGGAGTATTCTTATACTGTATTTAATATTATTTAGATGTGCACAAAAAATTAACGATATGGACAAACTGATATGTTTTCCTAAATTCAATCAATTGATTTTATAAAAAAAACCCTTTGCCATAATTATATTGTTTATAGTAATTTAATGGCACAGTTACGCTACCTTTTAGCATTTTATATTTTTCGCCGATAATATTCTACTTGGTATTGCAGTACGATGACATACAAGGCCGCAAAAAGTAAAAATTGTTGCATTATTGATGGCAAGTTGGAGAACTCCCCTGTAAGGTACTTTAAATTCGGCTCACTGTACCTTCCGCAAGCTGTAGATCTTGTAAGTATAGTTCTTCTGGATTTCTCCAGTCTGGTATTGACTCTGTCTTGCTTATATTTCACCAAAAATGCAGCTCACTTCTGCAGGTCGCTGTCTGGAGAAATCCAGACCTACGGGTAGTTCGTACACAATGAATTGCAAATATTTTCCAACGGTATTGTAAATTGATGTGATATTGTATAGTGTGCTGCATTGATTTCGCCACAAAGGAATATTTTCTTACATTTCCAATAAAAAATAGCACTGCCAATAAGTAATTACTGCTACTAAATATTTCAATTTTACTATTACACTTGATGAAACAAAAATCTTAAAATTTGGTCGAGACTAGCGTTTTATATTTAAGATGTATTTAAATGTTTGATACTTTACCTCCAATAATGTGCAGCATAAAGAAAGTGAAAATAAAGTCTTTCGACCTATCTTAATGACATCCAGCAATATTTTTTAAAATATAGGAACTATTCACAACATTTCATATTTTTTCTCCACTTTGTATTTTGTAGCAAGCTTAATGCAACACTGCAAATTGTATTTCCTCAAACGCGTCATAAACATCTGGCATCCCTTCCCATTTTAAATAATCTGCGCTAGTTAATCCCGGGATGGAGTTGAACTAAAATCGATAACAAATTTTTCCTATCCGGGGGAAATTTATATCGGGAAATTCCGATTCATATTATCGTATTTCAATATGCCGAAATTTATTTTCGGGATTGATTCGGTTTAGGAATCGGAACTGCAGGAAGACATAAATCATGTCGAAAAAAAAATGATGGGGCATCCGATTGGCACTGAAATATTAAATTACGACCAGTCTGTGTTTCGAGTGTTAAGCCGGTGTATATTTCAACTGATGTTTGGTTTAAAAACTTTACGTTTTCAAGAAACCATGTTAGTCAATTTTTGTTTGGGTGAGATAACAAAGTTACAATCGTATTATCCTCGGGTTCATTTGCGACAAATAATAAATTAAATTATTTTGTAATCAAAATTTCGTTTGGGTTCGTCATTTTCTGTCGGAACGTCTAACTAAGTTTGTAAACTTGGGAATATTATTTACTGTAATCAGTAGTCTATTGAATCTCGTTAAATTAGCTTGATTGACTAATTCGCATTCCTAAAGCTTACGGATCGAAATAGCGGTGTTCCTGGTAGTCGTGTCAGACTGAAAAGAGATAAATTCGCTCATCAATTTGTGTCCCCAATTACATTGATCGGATTTTGCTTCAGGTCTTTGCTTAAGCAATCTCGTGTTTACTTGTTTTGGAAGTAGAATACATATTTTATAATTTATTTATTATTTGATAATCTTATCAAACCATTATCACCATTAACAACCAAGTACCATGGGGATTATATAATTCTGCATGGTTGGAAAAATAGAACAAGCAAAGCGATAGCTTAAGGTTATAATATACCAAGAGAGGTATATTTAAAATAAGAGAGTTGTTGGTTGTCCACTAAAATACAAACATCCAGAATTTTCTCTTTTAGATTTGTCTTTTTAGATTTGAACAACGCTAGCGTTAATAGCATTAGTTATTATTTGAATAAACCTCCAACGCATGTATTCAGACCATAACGAGGTGGTTGAAATTGCGGCTGCTTCCAACAAGCGAAAATTTAATTAGGGCTGCCTGCCTATCCATGCCGAATGAAAATAATGTTTTCAAGGCTACAGCCCGAAGGGAAAACCTCTGTAAACATAACTTTCCGTACGTGTAGTAATTTTGGAAAAGCGCCAACGGCCAACGTTGGATGTATAGGTTTCCATTTTCTTTGCGAGCATTTTCATTTTATAGATAAATGTTATTCTTAATCGGAAAAAACGTTTAAGTATTTTATTGATGTTAACTCTGAATCATAATAATTGTTCTATTAGAAAGTTAAAAACTGTTTAATGTATTTATGTTAATTTATGAAATCCTTTATATCTACAAAATAGGTAATTTCATCCAATTTTCGACTTATTTGTACTAAAATTCCGAAATTATGCAATCTGTGAAAGTCAAAAACCGATTTGAAAAAGCAGCAATATATTAAAATTGCACGAAAAATAATTCAGTATTAATTGCTTTTAACGCAAATGTCTTGTTTTCATATACCAGAAAAGAACTTTGCTCCACTAGTAGGATCATGATAATATGATAAAATAATGATAAAAACAACCATTTTTCTGCATAGCCCTGCAAAAGTTTCAAACAAGCCTAGCCAAGAAAATTATTTTAAAATTTTTCTAGGTCTAGATTTTTTTATCAACATAGTGATAAGGAAGTAGTCTTTCTCGGGGCCAGTCCTGCAAAATATTCAAAAATGTCAAGGCAAAAATTAATTATCACAATTTATGAAACACGAGAGCACTTGGTAAAATCATTAGCCGGAACGATCATTAGTCATAATTATATTCCACTCTATTCTATTCTCTAGTGAAATCAAATTGAAAATAGTGAATTGAGATTTGGTTTTGACTAAATTTCAATTCCATTTCATTAATACATTTCAGTTCGAGCCAAGTTTTATAATGATAGAGGAATCAATGAGTTATCTTTTGAAACTTGTAATTAGGAAATGTGGATAGCGCAATATATATGCGGATTAAAATTAGGCAATTGCGTTAACTGATTTGTTGGTTTTGTTTGTCTCCTGCGTGAGTTTTCCGCCTACAATTGATTCATTAAATCTTTAAGTTAAAGAACTCGAATTACATGTAAGTAAGGGATTCTGAACCTTTAAACGAGATTCGAAATTTTTAGACAAATAATGAATGTGAGCGTTCCATCAAAAAATACATTTCATCACAAACTTCCAATAGCAATGAGGCCGAAAGCAATCCTAAACTTGCTACTGTGGTCCTTCCTCACATTTAAAACATCGCTGACCACATATCAAAAATTCTAAAGAAATATAACGCCAAACCCAGATTTACCACTTGTCCAAACATCTCTCAACATCTTCGATCCGTCAAAGACAAAATTCCATTTGATATGCCATTATACCATTCCATGCATATGAGGCAAAGAATACATTGGAGAGACAGGCTTAAAAACATGAGAGAGACTTAATACTAAGACAAATAAACTCATCAGCAATTTCTGAAGACCATCACGAAACCGCACATAAAATTTTAGTCGATAAAACTAATATTCTTGCATGTAATCAATTCTTCTACCAACGAAAGTCTCCTAACAATCCTAACAATCTTAACTGCGACTCAGGTCTTTGTCAGCAAAATGCAAGCCAGTTTCAATCAAGCTCTGAAGAAACCAACAGGATGACTGGCGAAACGTTAGCAAGTTCGACTCAGCGACGCAGGAGGAATCCAGAAGCTTTGCAAAAATAAATAATGAATGCCTACAGCGCCATTGTTCGGTAGATAGGTTACAATATTTTCGTGTCTAAATTTTAATGATATGAATTCCTAAAATGGAAAGATTTATTTTTTATTCCATGTCAAAGATTTGGATTGTATGGGAATTACACTTAAAACTGATTAGAAATGTTGATCTTTTTGCAATCAATTAGGTAGAAGTAATCTGATAGGCGTTTGTAAATCAAGG